CATTTCAAAAACATATTTTATATTTAGGGTATATAAATATAAAAACAAGTATACATTTTTAGTACAATTAAATCCCTAACTTTGTCGAATGAATGATACAATCTTTGTTTATCGGAATATTGACGTATCTTGAACTTTAAATCGGCATGTTGTGACTCAGCTAAAACTAATTCCATGTACATGTATATCATTCGCTGAATGTGTTCATGTGTCTGCCATGATGATAAAGAAACACACATGTCATTCCGATCTACGCCGTTTGACATGCTTCTAAAAGGTACAACGTCATTTTAGATAAATAAAATCACGAAATCTAATATTGACACCAGTTCATTGTGTCAGTAAATTTAGAACTAAACTTTCCCTACCTTTGTAAACCGGCATTTCGTTTGATTTCCTGAAACCGGACAACTTTTAAATTCAGACTACAACCGGAAGATGTTGTTTGTTTATTAGTTCTTTTCGCCAAAGGGTACATTAACTATAAAATAATGTCCAATGAATAGTCTTCTTACCACAATCTCAGTATATTTTGTGGCACTATTATGGTAAAATATTCCACTTTTGTGTTTTCATTTCCATTGTATTATGAATGCGAATTAATGTAGTCTCGTTTCATTATAGTCATACTCGTCTTTATAGTACACCTGCGGCTTTAAAGATAATATTATGGACTGCTTAGCACCCATGACGGATGATCACGTGACGCATGTCGGATACACTGAAATTCCACCCAGAAAGTGTCTACGGCGACGGAAAAGTCGGCGCCTGTTATCAATATTTTATCCTGAATTGCTGTTATAAGGAGTAATATTCTGGAACACTGGTATCAATAATATATTTGTGAACAAATGGTCGCCTGATTTATCGGTGAACATCATTGAAGTTTGGTTTTCCACCGTTGTAAAATAAAGCTACCGGTGACTTGCTGTATCTTCGTAATTTGTGTACGCTGTGTGCGGTAAGTTTTCACGTTGATGTTGTATGTATTTGGAGCGTATGTGATTATCTCTATGCATCAGCTGTTGATAGTTTACATAGCGACCACACTTGGAAACTGGTCGTTGTAATTGAACTTGTTCGCTCTTGTTTTTCAGCTGTAGTGGCAATCATAGAAACAGTGAGCTGTCTTGCATGTTTTTTTTTACCTCCATGCATGGTTCATGTTTGCGCCCTTCGGTCATTCACTGGTTGAGTCACCTTTAACAACTGTCAACTTTCGTAATTTGGGACGGACTTTGATCCGTTTTCTGTTTTGCCCTAAACAACACAGAGCTAATGATTTGTTGAGTACTGTATATGCTGCAAACTCTCACATTATTTATTGATTGGCACCTTTATTATTTTAATTTAAAAACTCTTTTCAATTCAAAATAACGCGTTTCCGCATTTTACGGTTGAGTAATTTGGTCCATTATACCGGGCTTCATTTGTGGATGAGATCTTGAAAACTATCGTACCTATGAGCTGGAGTTCTACGCTCATACTATTATTTTAGTATTGGGATATGTATTGATTTGAAACGTATTATTTTTACATGTTTGACAATCACCAGTCAATGAATAAACTTCACCTGGCTTTAATTTATTTATTGTTTGCAGCTGTTTGTGTTTTGACAGAATGAAGGAAATGCTTGTGGTAGAACATTATCAGTATTTGAATTCGTATTTGTAATGTAAATTTTAGTAAATTGTATGGTGTAAAGCGGTTAAATTGTCATTCACAAAATGTTACGATGTAATAATTGGAGGGCATTCATTCATAGGGACATTATTTCATGAAAGTTACCTGAAGAATTCCAGGTTTAACAATTTAACATTGTTTATTTAGCATATGCAGTGTACTGTGGGTGAATAATTTGATATAAAGGAAAACTAGCTAAATTACTAAATGCTACTTTGTTGAAAATTATTAAGATTCTTGTCAATAAAAATAAACAACTTGTTCAGCATTGTTCAATGGCTCGAGCCAGCAATAGAGGCTGTGTATACACGTTTTGCTCAAGTCGGTCTCGATAAAAATAGTAGAAGCGGTTATGGTACGGTGACGTGTTCCCAGTAGGTTTAGTTAGATTGACAACTGTTACACATATCGCAACAGTTGAACAATTACAAAATGGTAATTTGCATGACAATAACTTAAGCGAATAGGCTGTAATATATTTTAGTTGCTGTGTTTCCTGTTTATTCGAGATACACATGTACACCAGTACATTGTCTTTTCAACCTCCATGCTCAGACTTGTGCCATGTAAAGAAACAACACAAGCACGACACCAAAACCGTTTTCAGCCATGTTTTTTTTATGTGAAGTATTTGAGGGCACTGCTCTGTTCGGCTCTGAATGAACTGAATTGAATTCTGACAGATCACGGTTCTTGTTCGTCCCCCACCAGTGTGAAAGCATTGGAGACAGTCTCCTGTTAATCGGTGGGAGGAGCAGTTGTTCAGCTCTGATAGAATGCTGTCATGCGAGTGTCACCATGGCCAAATAAAAATAAAGCATGCGTGTCCAATAACTCTACTGATCCATATTTTGCAGGAAATCAGACCAAAATTATTCATTTTATTTTTTAGGCATTCCATCATTGATGTTATTTATTTCTACTTCCTTGTACATGCATGAAGTGAATGACTAAGCACTATAAAAGAGTATAAAGGAAATGTATATCTTGAAAACTTGCATACCTTTTTCAAGTATGTAGACTGTAATAATATAATGTTCTTGTAATAATGAGTACAACTTAATTGGTTAAAAAAATTGAAAGCCTTTCCTACATGTGCATGTACCTATCCAGTATTGTTTTCGTTGTTACTAATTTCCAATATGAAACACTTAAAACTTCATAAATCATTAGAAGTGTTTTCTCTTTACAAACCAGTATAATTTTACTTTTTTCCCCAAAAAACTTAAACTCATCACTTAAAATATATTCGTCACTAAAACACAGCAAAAGCACAAGTGCACTATTTGATACATGTTTCTCGACAAAACTCAGCAAACCAAGATTATAAACACTAAAAAGAAAATTCTTCTTTTGCACATTATCTTTGGAAACACTGGGTGTTGTAATTTGCTGCCTTCTGTCTCTCCTGTGAAATGTGCCCTGGACTATATCCTGCAATGCGAGCTGCTATTCCCTGTCTCAGTATGCATAATTTATTATCCCAAAATTTAAATTATGAATTCTGAAGTCGGACAACATGTATAGTATCATACATGCGTGGTATGTTTATGGTTAAAATAAGTCATTTTTAATGATCAAGTATTTATGTACAAGCGTGCTAACGCCAAGAAGCAAAAAAAGGTGTTTCCTACAACCTGACCTTCGCTATTTTTTTTTTTACTGCCGACCCTAATCTTTTTTTTGACTGTATTTGAGAAAACATCACAAAATTATGGCAGGCTTTGATGGGTATGTAAACAACTACATATGAGATTTATAACAGTCATACATGTATCTGCAAAAACAATAAACAGTTGTAACAAAGAAAAAATATACATGTATAGAAAAATAAAAAAAACACACTACTTTATCTACTCTATTTTTGAAAAGCATGTTACATGTATAGGACCTACAAGATTTCTATATTTGACCTGTTAGAGATGTGCTTCAAAAATTATAATAAAGCAACATTTGGTTCATCTACCTACACTTTTTTCATGCATATTAATAAATGTTGTCGACACCTGCTGTCGCTCGGTGAAAACACCCTGGGCCTATACTCTGGGATGCCCTCAACTTGTTAAATGTCTAAAAACAGAGGGATGGGCTTATACCTGAGGAGGGGCTTATACTAGGGGAAGTACGGTATTACAATATTGGTTGTAATGCTATGTATTTGTATTGTACACCCTGTAATTTGTTACATTGCTATTTCTCATAATTCGTTATTCTTAGTTGGCTCTAATTTCTCTGTGATATTGGAATATTGCTTAGTAGTTATCATTGCTTCCTGGTCTGAATCAGTTATTTCATTTTTGGTAAAGTGAATAAATTTGAAAAAATGCATTTATTCTATTCAAGTATCCTAGACTGGTTGACTTGTGATGATTATTACAACACGTTTATTTGATCATGTGACTTTCAAAGTCCAGGGTTGTCACATCTGCTGTACGTGTTATGCAATGCACTTTGCTGGGAAGGGATTTCAAAAATGCAGGGAAAGATAATAATCAACCAGAGTAGAGAATGTTTTTTTATCAACTCAGAAACCATTAACACATTGCCTCCTGACAGCTTTTTCAGATAGCTGATATGTGTGATGTGTTAACCTAAATTCTGTAAAATAATTTATTTTAGCTTGAATTAATTTTGCTGAAAGGACGTTTTCAATTTTGTTTTGTAGGAAGTTTATTTTCACTGATTTTTGATGAGCTAATGCAAAATAAAGAAAAAAACACTTATTTTTGCTGGATTTTATTTTCAATGATTACTGTAAAATACTTTATTTTAGCTGGAATTAATTTTCGCTGAAAAAACTTTTTGGGTGTTTTGTAGACAATTTATTTTCACTGATTTCTGACGAGTTGAATGTAAAGTATAGGAAAAAAAGGTATATTCGCTGGACTTTATTTTAACTGAATCATTCCTTCAGCAAAAATAGCGAAAATGAATTCCAAGCAAAAATAAAGTATTTTACAGTGATCTTTTAGCAAAAATAACACAACTACGGTAAATCCCAAGTGAAAATAAAGTATGAGCTGCTTTTTCAGTGGGTTTCATATTTCTAATGCACAAAGTGGTCACAAACATTCATACATGTACATGTATTTGCTGTACTCAAGACTTCATTAGAGAAGAAAACCATAATTTTGGGGCAGTGTTTACATAAAATTGGATTAGAAATGAAACTAGACACAAGTAACTTACATCAGTCAGTATAGAGAGTTTGATAGACTAGCCAAGTCGGAATTTCTTGTTTGTTTTACAAAAAAAAGATAATTATTTGTTTTAATTATTTTAGTGTGATCGCGAAAACAGATGTGACCACAAAAGATTTTGTTCAAAGTCGTGCTATTTTTCATGATCGCGCTCAAAATGCCTAATTGACAATTAATTATTTTTTTTTTGTAAAAAAGAAGTCCTGACTTTGCCAGTCTAAGAGTTTGATCATGTTGAAATCTTGGCACATTACAAAATGTACCGGTACTACCCGGTACTTTTAATTTTAACAATAATACGTTGTATGAACAAATAATTATTTTTGGAAATGGCTGAATTGTTAAAAAAAAAAAAAGTGAAATATTTTTTGTATCTGTCTGGTGTCATTTTTTAGGCATGCTTTAACTGATCACATTTAAACTTAACATAAAGATCATGTATGATCTATAATTTGTTTATTTGAGGCCATTTACATGTAGTCCACAATCTTAAAATCAGAGTCTGTGAACATGTCTGGAACTGTTATTGAACATAAATTGGGCAATTTCATTCAAATTTAAGATAAGGATTATGCATTTAGGTGCAGGTGATGATATTTTCGTCTACATTGTAAGCCAATTCCTCACTATTATTCAGTTGTAAGTTTGCACAAAAGTGGTATACCCATTATACTATAGGTTATGTTATCTTTTGTGGCTTTGTCAAATTGATGCCCATTTTGTCTAAAATTGTAAAATTATAGTTTGTAAATGTGTCTAGATTAGAATCATTTCGCGCAATTGAGTAGGGCTTTCTATCAGGATCATACATATTGGATTACAAGTATACAGTATATATTTTTTTTGTAGATTGTCCAATATAAATATAGCCATTGATAAATTTGATTTTTTTTTATGGAAGCCATGCTAGTTTCTCAGTCTGTATGTATGTATGTATGTGTGATAAAATATTACCATATATTGTCTGTCTATGCTCTGATACTACATTGAAATTGACAAATAGATGAGTTCTTTGGTAGACATGAACATGTGATTTGAACACAGAATTCAATTACCGATAAAAATAACATACACTATA